ACGCGGTATTAAATCCCGATTTTACAACAAAACCACAAAATCCCAATTCTCCAGAAGGCCCCTGACCTGAAAGGTTTCATATCATGGCATGGGCTGGAATACAGCTCAGAGGTAGAACATGCACGAGGCTAAGGGTTCCAAACCAGCACCACATACACAGAAAGAAAAATCAGCTTTACTGTATCATGGCAAACACAGCAAATGACAACACACCCTTAGCCCTTTGGGGCTCTCCATTCCTCTGGCCCCCAAAACTGTTGATATAGCATCTTATAACACTGGCAGGAAGCTTTAGTCTAAAGAATGGAAATGTCATCAATCCTCAGGAGACCCAGGATATAAGTGGAAAAGCCAGACGGATCAAAAGGACCTGGGAGGGGATGGGGCATGGCTGAACCAAGCCAGAAGCCAAGCAGAGCCAGTAGGAAGCTGGCGGGGGGGTGGTCACCCCAAAGTCCCTGCCTTCCAGCCAGAGTCTGAGCTGGCACATCCCACCTCAAGCAATAATAGAGGCCCAAAGAGGAGAACACTGGACATTCTAGACAGTAAAGTTTTTAAAGTCAACGAAGGCCATACATCATCCCAATTCAAAGGAAGAAACTAGCATTCCTGTGTGATGTAGTGCAGGCTAAAGTTATAAATAGCTTCTAAAAAGGTTAGTAAAATGCACAGATGATAAATCTACAGTAGGTTACTAAGGGAAACCAGGATGCTCAGTGCCAGAATCTCACCTGTTGCAGTAAATGTCTGGTAGCTACCCTGTGGCTTCTTTCAGTCTGCTTCCCATTCTGGGGGCTGGAATGTGGAGCCTGCTGTGGATGGGCACTTCCTAGCTCTGCCTTTATTCAATGCAAGCCCTTCCCAAAGTAAGAAAACCTATTTCCAAAGTACAGCTCTCTCTGGTTCCCATAGCCCACTTGCTCTCCACTTCCTCCTCTGGGAAAAGTCTACCAGGAAGGACATTTTATGATGAGTACAACACCTTTCTCCCTTTCCGCTTCGCATTCCAATCGTGCTGGGCCCTTGGGTGCTGCCCATGACATGCAAAAGGAGGGGCCCACTGAGGCTGCTTTGGGTAGAGATTCCCTTTGTCAGGGGAAGCGCTTCCCTGCACATCCAGAGGACTCAAGGGGCAGGCGCAGCTGCTGGCCGATGTCAAATGTGAAACAAATCTCATTTGTCACTGAAAAAGCTACCTCAGGGAACACCGGTGTAGAGTATTTATGGCTCTCATTTAGGCATCCCTGAACTTGTATGCTTAAGTTTTCACAGACATACATAGCAACAGCATGGCCAAAAGCATACACATGGACTTCCACATAATAAGACAGGAGCTAAATCTAGAATCTAGGGATCCCAAAGTCACCCCAACTCACATCCTCCTGAGTGTGAGTATTCTGGGACCTGGGATAAACTAAGATTTAGTCCTTCCCTCCTCATGATATCAAATTCTGCCTTCCTGCCAAGGATTAAGAGATCAGCTGCAGTTAGAGAGCAGCTTGCCAGGCAGGTCATGGGCTGCAGGCCATGAGTTTGTCTGAACAGTGGGAAATTCTTCCTATTTCCCCTTTGCTCCAAACAGTGCAGAGGCAGAAGGCAAAATCCACCTGCAGACTCCCCACCAGAGCAGACAGTGGGTCTACTACAGAGCCAACCCTGATGACCCGAAAGCCAGCAGGAAAGGAGAAGCTCCACTGAGGCCTAGGCAGAAAGCCAGACCTCTCCACAGGACCCAGTACAGAGGAAGGGGCCTCTGTCAACTTTGACTCCAAGATGCTTGGCAGCAAAAATGCCATTCTGCTGCCCTTGGACCACCAAGGCTCGGCCAAGAGAGGAGAGGGCTTCCCTTTGGCAGGGATGCCAGTGAGTGAGCTAGGACATTGAGGAATGTCACTAGGCAAAGCACTTGATGGGAACTGACGTCTAACACACTCTATTCTCATTCTCTGTCTCTTTCTCTCTCTGCTAACAGAAGCAGAGGTCAGATGGAAAGCAGCCAGTGTAGAAGGCAAAATGTCACTTACTTTGAACATCTCTTGACTGTTAGATTCCTAATAGTAAATTGAGCAAATGATGCCTGCGGCTTTGAACTGGACAGGTTACAGCGTAGGCCACCAGTAAGCAAGTAGAGGAAACATGCCAATTTAAGGGCGGTGCTGTTGCTGTTATTTAAATAGATATAGCAAGTGCCCACATGCATGAGAAAACATTTGAGAGAGAAAGCAACTGTCTTCCAGCACTGTGAGCTTCCTCCTCCCATCTTAGCTTTCTGAACAAAGAACCAAATGAAGTCCACCTACGCCAACTTTCTTCTTAAACTCAGGTATTCCTCTTACATTAATGGGGCTCCATACCTCTGCTGAAGAGATTCTAGGATCTGGTTTCTAGTGGAATTCCTATCAACTCCAGACAATGAATGCACTGACCTCTTCCACCTGCGAGTCCCTCTCCCCACAAAATTGAGCGAAGTACAGTACTTTACTGCAGTATCATACAACTTCTTGTACTCGGCACAAAGAATAGTATCAGCTGCTTTTACATATGTTAAAGAATTTAAGACAGCCTACAATCTTGCAGTGCAGATTCTAATTATCCACATTTCTATATATAAATACAGTAAATAGGTAGAGGCACATGACTAGCACGGCAAGGTGAAGCTCTGAACCCGAGCCTGTTTGGTTTTAAAGCCACGCTTCCTCTACTACCCATTAGGCCTGTGTGTGAGTGAGTATATGTACACATGCACACATGTACGTGTACGTAAATAAATTCAATACAGATTCCTAGAGACATGGAGTATAAAAGAGCAATCTCTGACACAAAACATGGCCAGGCATCTGATCCAGACACCTATGCTGGCTGTGATGTATCTCTTACCTTACATTTGTTCTTTTGTACTCTTCAGATGTTTAGCACAGTACTACAGGTACAACAAGCACTTGTCACTTGGTCTCATCATTGCTAAAGTTACTTATTAGTAATCAGAGATGAGGCATTACTAACTTTGATTCAAAAAAAATCTTAGCTGCTGGGAGAAATACCAAGGGGACCTAACACATATCTGGGCCAAGAGAGTAGGTGTCCTACCACTGAGTAAAAACTGTATGACTTGAGCCTTACGTTGATCCTGTTTGATATATATGTTAGTCTTCTGCTGGAAAGAGCAATTAAGATGACATATGGAAAGGCCTGGGGCACCTCATTGGATTGAAGTTCCCAAGTTAGCACAAGTGGCATACAACCCTCACTTCATGTCTGTGAAGACTCCACATATCACATCTACGTGTACACAAATAATTCAACCAACTTGGGGGCTCTCCACAACTCCCATGACATCTGGTGTGCCTAATAACCTCCAACAAGAGCAAATTCAGACCTACGAACATGGCTGCCCCAAGTCTGATAGGTAGAAGGCACTCAGTGAATGTTCATTGGGTTGAGTGTGCACCGAAGTTCTGACATACACAGGTGCAGTTGAATAAAGGAAATAAGAGAAGAGGAGGTAGTGAGAGAAGTTAAAATTAAAGACAAGTTTCAAATATCCCTTTTAAACCAGCAATGCCAATCTTCTGTTTATCAACTGTGCTACTTAAAAGTTGGTCTTGATTGAGTTCTGCCACTTGCCCCCCCCACCTTCTTGTGAAGGTAGAAGGAGCAACAACTGGAAGGCAGACACCAAAAGGGTTCTAAAAAACTGAGAACTAGCTGCATGGATTTGGGTGCTTGGTGACAGGGAGTAATCTCTCACACCTTGACATGCCAGCACTTCTCCATCCTCAGATGTTCGGTTAACTTCACAGTTTAGAAACCAAGGCCACATCGAGCCACACCCAAGACACTTCAGAATACAACACAGAATCTGAGTATCACAATTCTGAAAGCCAAATCTAAACAAGCTACAAAACGTACCGCTCCCTTTACTGAGTGCCAAATACGTACTCGGCTCAGCATTAAGCATTTCAGCATACAATATGTGCAGGAAGATGGTCTTTTTTAAGAAACACATTTTACACATAAGGAAACTACTACTGGACTTCCCCCAAAGCCAAGTCCTTCAGCTGCTCACACATCCCCAAGGACTCAAGTCTGCATGACAGGCAGAAACTTACGCCTGAGTCTTCCTGTCAAATCAGAGCTGGATTCTGTGAAACTTCATCACACACAATCATCTCAGTCCCACTGCAAAAGTGGGTCTGGTAAGGATACAGGACCAAGGCAGAGAGACACAAAGAAGACCCCAATCCTACAGAAGCACAGCCTGGCCACTCCTGATGTGCAAATGCTGGCCAGATGCTGCAGGGAGAAGTATGCGTTTCTTTTTGCACAATAATCTCTCCAAAGAAAACCCAGACAAAGTCACCTGGCCTTCCTGAGCCGGGAGGAAAGCTTTGCCTCCAAGATTCACACTGAACTCTTAACCCTGCCTCCCCATGCCAACCCCAGGGAGTGACTGGATCTGGTTGTTTCTTTTCTTTTTTTCCCTATGGTCCTCTGCTAACACCACAAATTACGTTTTCAGGGACTCAAGGCCCAGATTGCAATGATGTTGTAATAAACATAACCAGGACCAAATGCCTTCCCATCATATTAGATGATGCCATTTCCTACCAATCAGACTCCTCGGGCAGGCAGACCACTCACCAATGAGGGACCAGACACAGGCTGCGAGGGGGAGACCTGGTCATCTGCAACTAAAAATAAGGGCGCTTCACCATTGGCCTGTCACTTTGCAACAGGAGTTGGGACCCACATGCCCACTGCCACACAGAACGACCCACACAGGCAAAAACTTTCACAGTCCAAGGGTTCACATGGGTGGGTTGGTCTGTATTCGGTTTTTGTTTGTTTGTTTGTTTGCTTTCTTAATTGGATGACTCAAGAAAAGACCAGATCCAGAGGGAGACCCCTGGCAGACACACCCTCCCACCTAGACACAAGCCCTTCACAGACACACAGAACTTGGGGGGGAGGGGGTGTCAGGCAAAGGCCGAGACACTCACCTGTCCGGCTGTGTCATAGAGTCCCAGGAGGTACTGCTTGCCCCCCACAGTGACGCTGACTGCAAAGACAGAAGTGGGGGTGGGGACAGAAGCTCACAATGACCGGGCTCTGGGGGAACTCCGGTCCCCACCTTGACGCTCCTCTCCCAACCCAGACAGAGGCACGTGGGCGCCCCCTGGGAGATGTCACCCCCTTTTCCTAGCACACAGCTCACTGAGAAGTGGCCTGTTATGGGGTGTGATGTGGCTCCCGCTGTCAGCTCGCTCCCCCCAAGTCCTACAGCCAAATCCTGCACGGTACCCCCAAATGTTTCCCCCAGAGACTTGGGGCAGTAGGGGAGGCAGCTACGGGAAGGTCAAGGAGGGCACCGGGGCAACGGGAAGTGGGGAGAGTAGGGCTGGGTAGGGGGCGGTAAGAGGGGTGGGAGCTGCGGCCCCGCGGGAGGCTTAGCCCCG